CCTTAGGAGATAAGGATTGCTACAAATAAAGGGGATGATTATCCTAATCCTATAATGATTAGGATATCTACAACATATGGATAAATACAAGGGAGGATAATGACAAGTCTTGGCCGCCTAGTCTTGGGACTGAAGTAGACTGATGTGGTCTGGTCCATTTCCGGATATGTCCCAACCACCATCTTCATTTCTTAACAAAGATCAAACATTGTCATGTATTTTTATGTTTTTTGGGACAAGAATATTGAATATATTAACCATCTTGTTGGGTTACCGAAACGTTTTTCAAAATTAAAATATATAGAAAATGTTTGGCCATATAATCAAATGGATCTTAAATACATACAGAATGTCAAATGAGTATAGTCGTATAAATTTCAATAATATTCGACTGTAGATTTTATTTTGAAAACTTTTCTGGAGAAATTACATAAGGAGGTTGACATATTAATTAGACATCTGATCGGCCGGTAACTCAAAACATTTGTACGTTTCGTACACATACATTAACAACAACACATTCTACATCGGATAGAAAACAATGCACGTTTCAACACGCACGTGAGTGCAATGTTAAAAAGAGAAAATTACAACAACAAAAATATCAAAAACCAAAAGAACACAATCAGTCATGGTATTGGTATCGATGGGCATAAAGAGTAATTATTATCTCATTGTAATTATTTAAAGCCATTAGCTGACTCTGTTGCCTCAAGTTATTAATGGGCCCTGATAATCTCAAACTCTGGCTACTTTCAACATGAACATGTTTAGGAAAAAGATAGGGACACGTAGGGGTGGTGTTATTCAATCGATTTTTTTTCTTAAATCAATTGTCATTTTTTAAAAAAATCAGTTAAAATTTTAAATTTAAAGATAAGTTATAATTGGCGAATGCTGAAATCTCTGCAATATAAATTAGCTTTTAATTTCAATCATTTGTTCTTGAGACTTCACCACAAATGATTTGAATTCAGTTTTAAATACAAAGAATTTTCGTTTAAAATTAAATAACACAAGATTTAAAAAACATAATTTAAATCATTCATCAAATAACACCTATTTTAAATAAGGTTATTAAATGTTATATTCAATACCATTAAATTTAAAATTGAATTTAAAATTATCATTTGAATAATTAAGAATTTTACTTAGATTTAAACTATACTAAAATACATGATTAAATAACATCAACGTAATTAAAGCTGAGATATGAACACAAATTTATATAACGGAAAATTAGGAATAATTGTGGTAAAAGGAACAAGCGTACAAGACGACGTGCAAGGAGGTTATATGTCCACACAAGAATGATCAGTGATATATGGTTGTTGATAAGCACGAACTTGTGTCGCGTTAACATGATCAACACTTAACCACATTAGTTTCCCCGGTCATGAAAATGTAATAGTATGCACTGTTTTGATTCGTGTGAAGATCTTTTTCTCGTGTGAATTTCTCTTGTGATTGTTTCATGCACACGATTTAATTTTCTGAAACAACGTTATCAGAATGTGATCGTTTAGTCATCGTACTCATCGTCCAGGTGTGACCCTATTGACACACACGATTAAAAGCATACGTAAATGTACTGATGTGCACATTTGTATTGCATATATAATCAAATTATTCAACATATTAACAAACACGTATTGCTCTTCCACACAAATTATTCAGCTATGGGCTATTTGAGATATTTCTTAACTTCATTTTGGGTACCTAGAAATTTGAAAGCCGAATCATTATAAATTTTTTTATATGATTGACCATTATTTGCAGCTACAGCTGGATTTTTAAATTCAAGTCTTTGTTGATACTCTACATACGTGTTGATGATACATTGATATGCTTATCTAGGTCTTTGTTGATAGTTTATATACATGTTGATGATATATTAATATGCTTATCTTAGCTCTTTGTTGATACTTTACATACAAGTTGAATTGTTGATGATATATTGATATGCTTATTTAGGTCATCATTGATACTTTTCATACCTATTGATTTATACATTGATATGTTTTAATTAAAAGATACTTAATTCGTCACTATACCAAAAAAAAAAAACACCGACGAAAATAGAATCAAACACAAACACTGTGAGAAGACGAATGAATTCGAAAAGTACAACCACCATTCAATATTTCTCTGAACATTATAGAAAGTCATCTCCGACCGTAACCGGTTTATTTTTTAATTCCGAATTTAATTTAACCGGTTTAGAATTCGGTTTACCTTCTTCTATATATACCCCCACTGTTTCTTGAATCTTTCTTCTCCTTTACTCGCTCTAACGATTTCAAACTTCTTCCGCAATTTCCACATCAATTGCAATGGGAATCTGTGTATCGCTCAACCGGAGAGACTCCGATTCTCCCCCAACGGTGAAGATCGTCTCCGTCAACGGCGATCTACGCGAATACAACGTTCCGGTGATAGCATCTCAGGTCCTGGAATCCGAATCAACGGCGCCATCTTCCTCTTCTTCTTGTTTCCTCTGCGATTCCGATTCTCTCAAATACGACGATTTCATCCCGGCGATCGAGCCGGAAGCGCCGCTTCACGCCGAGCAGATCTACTTCGTTCTTCCGATGTCTAGACGCCGGAGCCGTCTAACGGCGCCGGACATGGCGGCTCTCGCCGTGAAAGCGAGCGTCGCGATGCAGAACTCCGCAGGGAGAGAGTTTCGCCGGCGTAAGAAGGGGAGGATCTCGCCGGTCATGATGCTTACTCAGCCTAACGGTTCTGTTACTGCTGCTAACGGAAAAGCGAGCGAGTCAACGGTTATGAAGGGAAGACCGTTGGTTAAGAAAACGGCGGCGTTTAAGGCTTCGAGCGGTTATAACCGGTCCGGTTCGGTACGTAATTTGAGAAGGAATACTTCGAAGCGAGCAAAGTTGGCGGTTCGATCGTTTAGGTTGAAACTCTCAACAATCGACGAAGGGTCGGTCGGTTAAATTAACGGATTGGCTATAAATTATAATATGTCTTTAATATAGGAATAAACAAATCAAGAAGGAAAATGTAAACCATTATAAGAAATTGAATAAGCATTATATTTATTTGCAATTTTGTTTTCGTTTGTTAAAGACTCATGAGATATAGGCTCCGAATGGTGACAGCGGATTTGATAATAAAAGCGGTGCGGAATTAAAGTGCGGGACGGTGCAACTGCGGTTTGTGCGGAATTAGAGTGCGGTACGGGACAACTGCGGTTTTAAGTAAAAAGTAATATGAAATATTGTTTGATTGGTGACAATACACATTTGCGGTATTGAATGATTATTAAATAAATAATAATATTAATACAGAATTTAAAATATATTAAAATAAAATAAATAATATATTAATACAATAAGCATATTTTAAATTAAAAATATTTTCAAATGAAATATTTTTGATAAATGTGGTTTGCTAAAATAATCGTTACAAAATAATATTGATTGGTGAAAAACTATTTTGTGATTTTGCTAAATAATTAAAATAATGTAAAATATAAAATTTGGTTCCGACTTTTAGGTTCTAAAGATATAAATCTGGTTCGAATAACTGATAGGATCCTAACCCGGACTTACTTAAAAAATAGATTTTGTTCGGTATTATCCAATTCCGGATATATGTGCATATATTTATCTATTATTATATTTAATAAATTTGGTTTAGGTATTATTTTGAATTTTTATCTTTTAATTAACTATTTTTAATAAGTATATAACTGAAATCTTATCATGTATGATTTTATTAAGAGTTTAAGTATTTAAAATTAATAATAGTTAATTAATTTATTAATATGGACAACACATTACGTAACATGACATATTTATCTCTTTTTCATATTTAATTTTTAAATAACTTTTGTTTAAAAAGTTACTGTGTAGTGCGTAATTGGAAATTCCGCTACTTATTACCTGCTTCAAATTTCAAGTGCGTTATTTGGTAAAATGAACTGTATTACATGCCTAGAATTTCGTGTGCGTATTTCATTATGTTCCTAACAAATACGCAAATGCTTTTTATTGTTTTTGTGATTGGTGATGCAAGTGCGTTTTTTACAATAACGCTTTCAAATACGCACCGCACTCAGTCGCCAATCACTACCATAATATCAGACGAAGAAAACATTCTGGACCTGTAAATTTCTTTTCTTTTACATTTTTATTATTTTGATTGTATATTTTGGTCACGTACCGCTGATCACGCTATAGAAAAGCATATCTGTTACCAAATAATGTGTGTGTGTGATTGGCGATGTTATTATTATAAATTTATAAGACAAACATTATTCATAGACATACTCAAGGTTAATACTAGCCAAGTTATAAACCTTTAAGTTGGTTCTTATGTTGCTAAAAAAAAGTGGTTCATATATGGGTCCTTCCATAAGTGAATGTATAACAAAAAAACATGTTTAATTAATCTGAAACTATAAACTGTTCTGTTTAATAACAATATATATATAACTAAACTGAATATGTCAAATTGGGAGACATTTAAATAGAAGCTTAGCCCTGGAGACTAAGATAACGACCAAGGAAATTTTACTAGAATATTTCCAAAGTACTTGATCATCTAATTATATTAACTAGTTTTGTATGTTCAGAATTAAAACTTTGAGTATATGTGCCATTCAATAATAGAACTCAAAAGAATCTGTTAGTATTTATTAGTTATATATTTTGGGGAATACTATAAATTTTGAGAAAATCAGGCTAGCTTATAACAATTTATGCTATATGGAATAGAAGAATTCTAGATATAACTAAAATATTTATTCTTATCAAACTTTGCAGTTCATATCGTTACAATTGGTCTACTTCAGCAGGTAAAGCTATTTGAACTTTAAATGATACGTTTATAATTCTAGTTTAAGAACAAATCAAAAGCGTTATAAATGCTGCATTCATAATAGTTAATATTAATTGACTTTTTAGGGTTTGATATAGATATGTCATGTTAATAAGGTCGTTTTTCCATTTAAAAATTTGGTTTAGAATTCCTGGATGTGGTAGGGGACGCGCTTCTAATTATCACTCAAAACTTTTGTTGATTAGTGCCTTGATTAATGCAAATTTAATATTGTCTTTATCATCATTGCATGAGATGTGTATCAATTGCCAGTCAATCAGGCTTTTGGGCGGCAAAATGTTGTATAATATAAGAAGATTTGACTAATAATTATGTTGAGAGTCCACTAGCTCAATGCACACATATAAACGCTCAATAATTCATGCCATCATTAAGGCATTATATAATTATAAACATTAATCCTATATTATTGCCCACTAATCATATGTAGTATATACTACATATATTCGAATTGTAATTAGCTCTATATGTCTATGGTTCCAGTGATCAAGAATGTTGATAGTATAAAATAATAATTTTCATATACACAGCTACAAGATGGAGTAAGTAGAATTAACACTTTTAAAGGGGTGCGATTGCAATAATTTTAAAGCATGGTCCGTCTCTTCAAAGTGTCCCTTAATTTGACTAAACCACTTTAATCTTACTTACCTGTCAGATAATAAACAGGCGTCTTATTAGAGGACAACAAATATGTAACAAAAAAAACTTTCTAGAAATTAATAATGTATACCAACAATGTAGTAAAAACATACGTGATGTGTGGTGGAGTGGGGAATTGACATGTAAAAACGAGTGTGGAATGTGGACTGGATTTTTCTTTCCTGATCATTCGGTACCTGTTTGGCAATTTTATGGCATATGTGTAGTCTATTGATGAGAAATATCCCATATAGAAAATATAAGAACTAATCTAGTACTATATAAAGAGTTAGGGCCAGTCCACTAATCGTTAATTGATTTTAAGTTAGAAATCCATAATAAACGCGAATCTAACATGGTATCAGAGCCCATATCTTAAAAAAAGCCCTAAACTCCTAATTAATTACCTTTCCGACCGGGTATATAAGTCGTGTTTAATCTTCCGACTAGGTATAATTGTCGTATTTGACTCGCTCGACCGAGTATAACTGTTTTAAAGTTTCGAGATTTCTGACCGATAAGAGCCAATCCACTTATCACCAATTGGTTTTAAGTTGGAAGCTCATAATAAATCCGAATCTAACATAATCGAAGCTCTAACTAGTTCGAGTATCCATAAAAATATGTGTAATATATAGTAGAATTGATTTCGTCTCAACTCTTATAAAAACATAATGAAAATAAATCATGAAATTTATTGATTATATAATTATCTTTGATGATATCTGAAGTTAATAGAAATGTGTAACAAAACCTCTATTGATGTAGAGAGATTGGACATACTAACTACACTAAGGAATGTAAGCCGACAATCTCCGAGTGAGGATAGAAAGTGATAATGCGAACAAACCATACACAAAAGCATTGGCTTTTCATGTTTTCCCCTTTTTCATATGACCCAAAACCAAAAAGAGCTTTATATATATCATTCAAGTTTTGCTAATGAGTATTTGTAATATTTTTGTTAGAACAAAAAACTTTCAAACCTTAACTTGAATGTTTTAATGATACCAAAACAAAGCTGAAGAAAAAGTTCGGTTGTAACGTAGCTTGTACAGCTTTCATAAAATGCAACTCCCATTATCTGTTGCCAATCACCCTATTGTGGTTAACTAGTCAATTTATTACTAACCTATCCAATAAACCTCATGATTAAGGGTCTGACTGGTTGAAACGCGGCGGTTGCGGGAGTTTGCAGATGTGGGTGGTTGCGGTTTCTAGCGTTATTAGGCGATTTGTACGACTGGTATAGCGATTAAAAACTGGTGCGTTTGCGGGACATTTATGACTGGTTGATTATGAGATACTACAGCGGTTCAATAATAAATTTCCAATATTAACATATTATAACATTATAAAAAAATCAAAACATACTGTTATGATAAAAAATAATAAC